GATATCATTAAAAATTAATTCGAGAGTATAATAAATATTATGTGCATATTTTTCATAGACTGTATTCTTAGAATGTTTATTTTTCACACAGTGTATTTTTAGAATGTTTATATTGTCAATCTAATTTGCGTAATTAAATGTAACCAACTCCAATTAACAGCATTAAGATTATCCGATTTAACGATAATTTCCTTAAAAATTTGGAAACGAAACTTTTCTAATATCAGAAAAATTATATTCATTAAAAATTACATGCTATTTATATAATTTTCAAATGGTATGAAGCTTTATATACTTATTAATGTTTCAGTTTCCATAACTCCATTCTTATGAAACTATAAATGTAAAGTTTCATATTTTAAAAAATGTCTACCTATAGTTTGATTTCTCAAAGTAAAAACAATGTTGTATTGTTTAGAGAATGCGTTTATCCTTTAAGGCGCAGCTAATTTAGACAGAAATTTGTTTACTGGCAACATATTAGTTACTGCAACCGTCTATCATAAATTCCAAGAAAACAGACATACTTGAACTATATGTTCTTTAAAACATAGTGGTTTCTGAAAAATGGAAGACCTTTAGCAGCAAATAGTTCTACATTTTAATTGGTTTGCAAAAATATGAATCTACTATTGTAGAACAAACGATTCTACGTTTGTCACTATTATCAAATAAATTAATTTGTCTGTTAAAAAAGGAATCTACTGGATCAGATCAAAGAATTACAGCTATGCTAATAAATTGATAACCGGATTCTAAAAATATACATACAATACAATTTGCCTTTAAAAATCAAAATATCTTGATTCAGAATAACAGATTATAGCTGTGAAAATAGTTTGACAACCTAGTATTTAAAGCATATTAGAATATATAATTTTTCTGAAACATGAATCTGCTGAATCAGAATAAAGTATTATGGCAGTGCTTGGTAAGCTAATTTTAAAATCTTAAGAATTAAACGAATTATTTCCGAAAAATATAAATTTACTGAACCAGAACAAATTATTTTAGCAGTTTCTAAAGTTTGGTATTCAAATTCTAGAAGCTTATCGATTATTTTTCTAAAAATGCGACTTTATTGATAAAAAAAAAATAATAATGTCCTTTTTTAAACATAAAAAAAAATCTTTATAATTTTTAAGACTCATTTTACTTTGAATGAAACCATTTCAGTCTATAATTCAGCAATTTCAATAGCCTTAGTATGTTTTGGACTGCTTCATTTTATGATAGAATGCAGATTTGTACTTTTGATTTCTAGGCATGAAAATCTATCGATTAAAAAAGCAAAGAATAATACCAGTATTAATGAAGATTAGGATTAAATAACATGCATTTAATAAATAACATTTTAAATTATCTATCGATTTTAGAAATCCCTTCAGACAATTAAATCTGAAAAGTAGAGATCAGAAGTAGAAGAAAATAATAATCACTGAGAAGCTGCTGATTCAGTGAGGTACATTTTACTAAAGATGTTATCAGGCAAACTTACTTGAAAAAAAACTACATACTTAAAAGATTTTTTTTTAAATATACGTAAATGAAAGATTTCTTGATGGTTTAATTTGAGTTTTAATATTTGGAGTCATTCGTTAAATTAGACTTTTAACTAATATTGAAATTTTTACTAGCCCTCATTATATCTATTTTTGGTTGTACTAGACAAAGTCTACCATGCAAAATTATATAAATGTTAATATTTTAATTAAAAAAAACCTTGAACTGCCACTATGGTTATATATTTGCCAAAAGCATTTAAGTTAAATTGTAAAATATTTAGGTCTTTGAAAATTGCTCTTTACTCTTAAGAATTTGACAAAAACATGAGTTTTAAATTTGTTAATAGCATAACTATATTGCAAAATTTATTTTTGAAATTCAAAATTGTAAGGTTCAGAAAGTAAACTAACTTTAAAGAATTTTTTTTCATGAACCGTAACTTTTAGGAATCTTGAAATCCAAGTATGAACTTAAGCCTAACCCAAAATTTACATATCGCATAATCTAAAAATTGTTTCGAAAATTACATTAAACGTTAACAAAAACTCTAATAAAAATTTAGGCATTCATGTAGGTTAGAGTTCATATAGATTTTAATCTATATAAAAAAACTTTATCTAGCCAGAAATCTACAGAATAACCTAATCTAAATTTTAGATTGAAAATATACATTAACTTTAATAAAAATTAAAGCTTTCACGTAGACTCCGAGAACTTCTCAGAACGTAAATGTTACAGTTCATGTTTGGGTTTTTTATTGTTACTTTACATTCTAAGCTTCATGTTTTTGATATTAAATAAACTTTTGTTACATATTTATTTTTCAAAAAAGCATTAAAATTTACAAAATGAATATGGTGAAATTTATCGTGTTTCCGGCTCTATGTGAACACCAAAAAGCTCGGTATCTTTTATCTGGTAATGATTTTGGCACATTGGTAATGAGTTTGGTAAAATTAATAATAAAATATGGTATAACAATAATGCAAAATTTGGTATATGTTGCAAAAGTTTGTATTTTATAAAAATACCTCAGAGCATATCTTAAAAAACATTTATTTGGTTAAATTTACTTTTCAGTTTTGTAAGTTTTACTAAACATTAAGCAATAAGAACTATAGTTTTGAAAGCAGGAATTTCCGGTAAACCATTACCAAATGAATGATTGATATATCGCATATTTGGAGGCTATTAACTGGAATTATGGGCTTTTTACTAAAAATGTCATTACCATACAGTGCAGTAATTTTACCATAATTTTTTTTCTTCGCGTAATTTTACGAAAATATCTTGTGGATTAGACATACAAAGTCAACACATCTTTTACAGCTTATGGTTGATCTCAATTTTCGGTAATTGAGGTTGACCTAAAATGTTGTTTTCCTGTTGTAATCGTTTATTGATCTTTTACACTTACGATTGAACACTCCATTTTACCAAGCTCAGAATTTGAATTGCGTTTATTACTCAGCGTGGGGACGGAAACTTAAACAATGTACACAAACGACTCAATTAATTTTATACCATTCTTTAGGAAAGACACAATAATTATTCGCAAATTGAAAATATGACATTATAACATCAAATGTAAAGTCTTCATATAAAATTATCGATTCCTAAGTATGAGGAGCCAAGTTTTCAACAATTCTTTTAAATTATATATTGAAAATGCAACGAAATTTAGGAGCAGACAATAATTTTATTGATATAAATTGATAATAGTAATTCTGCTAAACCAAAAAGTTAATTAAGCTCACTGTAGCAAACGGTGTTTGAGTATCTTAAGAGAATGAGCAATAGAATCACATTAATCCTTCGTGGATTGAAATTGTGATATGATAAGATCTTATCTAAAACCAGCATATATGAAGAGCAGTGCGGATTTAAACTAAATTTTAGTGAATTTTAAGTAATCTATGGATATACAAGTTATATAAAAATAAGGCAAGGATTATGTCTTACCTTAATTTCTTGTCCACTAGATTTCAATGGCGTAATCAATGAAATGCAGGCACTCATTTAAAATAATCGTACCATAAGGTTCAAACTCTCCTTTCAAATTTGTTTCTAAGTATATTCAGGTTTCAGGCTTTCTAAAACTACTCATTTACTGTTTGTTACTAATAGCAAATTGGACGTTTTCTTACACCGAAATTATTCATAATTATGCATGTAGCACACCTTTATCCACATAGATTTGCGATATTTCATATCTTCACAAAATAAATTAATGATGCACAGTTAAATAAGACAAAAATAAGATCTTTCTCAAGAATTAAGAAAAATTTTTTCTTCAAAATTCCATTCATAAAAATCACAGTCAAGCATTCTGAACCTTAATCTATCAAGCTCTTTACATGTGACCCACACTATAATAGATGAAAATTCACCCTTTTACAAAATGGTGATAGTTCAGATTGAAAATGTATCCTGAAAGTAGAAAATGCTGCCATATAATTGAATATTGTTTCTACTACAGTAAACCAAGTATACAAAATTACATAGTAATCTGTGTAGCAAATAATACCAAGTGCTTTTAAGAGAGCAACCTCTTACAACAGTATTGATTTAGTTTTATGAAAGATAGTCTGAATTATCAGCTGTGAGAAGAAAATTAATTTTTCAGAATACGTATTTCAGAATATGTAATTTTTTATTCAATGACACTTAAACAGAACATTTCAGCAAACAAGTATGGTAAGTATTTAAACAATAAAACTAATCAATTTAATCTATTTAACAAAAAATAACTACATTTATAATGATGAAATGCAGATAAAGAGAGAATATAAACTAATTCAAACCCCTAATTTTGATGAAAGCAATAATTTTTTTTTTGTTATTTTGGATTTCAAACTTTAACACCATGTTTAACTCAGAGTTATATGTAAAAAATGGGGTATTGAAAGTTTATTCGTAATAACAGAGATTGGTTACACCATAATATGGTATTGAATCACAATAGTGATAAATGAATTTAATCTTACAGAAAAGAACTATGGGTGAAATGCTTCTCAAATGCTATGCAAACTTTTTCCCTAAACCTGAAAAAAATGCTAGAAACTAAAGAAAACTAACAAAACTTTGTTCGATTTATGGCCATATGTAATTTCAGTGAATCACTTGAACTAAAGAAAATCCCCGAAAAGTTTTCAGAAAATAATTTTTTATTTTAGTTTCTATATAATTCAATTCCAAAACTGTATTATTACTACAAATAGAGTCGTGGAATAACATTTTGAATATCTTACTTATAACAACTATCCATGCTAGCTATCATTCCTGAATTACCAGTTATATATATGGTAAACCAGCAGGAAAGTTCATTGCTAGAATCCTAGGTAAACTATGGGGTGGATCATTAAAAAAGAATATGTATATTTTACGCAACTGATAATATTTCTCAAAACTTTTGATATGCTTTCTGCTGAAATACTTCATTAGTTGTTGCTACATATTGAAGTCAGATATTCTTCATTTTCAGGATTGGCAAAGATGAAGAGCTGCTGCTCCTTCCGTTGTATTTGGCTCTGCTTCAAGGCACTAAGTGGCGGTGTCCTGCTGATTGCAATTGGCGTCGGCATGACCGTCTTCGGCTTTTATGCCGATACCTTCGCCGTCCAGGAACATGTCGACGATGTGACCAACAAGACTATGACTGTGGTCAACGAGCAGCTCAAGATGCATCTCCACAACCTTACTTATGTGGGACCTGTGTTGATGGGCCTCGGTGGCATGATGATTGTGGCCGCCTGCGTTCTTATAGATGCGCAGGGTGAGGACGCAAAGGGGCCACGGGGCCGTAGATCCTCCGATACGGAGGGAACAGAACACCTCATTACAGAGGCGACCAAAGCGGAACGTTGTAATGGACCTGTAGGCCCATTTATTAATATTGACTTACCGCCCGCAAGGGTTCCAGATAAAGGTGGGGGTGGCGTCTTCAAGGAAGAAGTGGTGACCGTCGCGGAAGTCGTCCAGAACCCTATCCTACAGCCGAACGGGCCTAGACCACAGCTGCCCCTGCCGGTTGCGCGCAACGATGCCGTCTCGCCCGCGGAGCCCCTGTCTTCGTCCAGCCTATCTTCACCGCCGCCCCGCGTGGCCGTCCGTCACAAGAAGAGGAGACAAAACAGCCGAAGCAGCTTCTTGAGTCCTCTCTTCGATGTGCCCTCGCCGCTGGACATCCAGATCTTGGACCCGGACGGCTGCACCCCGGACGCCGGGTGCACACTCGAGATGGACGTCTTTAACAACCGAACCACTAAGTGCCCGCCGCGTCTCCAAATGGAACCCCGGTACCTGGCGTCCATAGAGAGCGATGGACTCTCGGACAGTGAGACAGAGGAGTCCGAATTTACCACGACGACTGGTAGCGTCCGAGGGATAGGTCTGAAAGGCAAGTTCTGCTCCCCCTGCGATGACATCGAGGAGCAGGACATGCCTCTGCTAGGCAGGTGTAGTCCTCCTTCCTCGCCAGAGTATCCCATGGAACCTTTGCTCAAACGGGATAGGACCGGATTGCGTAGGTTCCAACTCATGAGACAGGTACCTAACTCACGGACGCTGTTCGATGGGCCTTCCTCTGAAGGAGGCTCCAGATAGAAAGTCTTTCCCCTCACCACGCCTTTTGGATACATTATGCCGGTGTCTTTTCCACTTTTTTACTCAAGTTGTGGTTCAACGTCATGAGGGAAAATTCAGAGGTTAGTTTATCTCTTTCTTTCTACTATCTTATTATGTCAAATTCTTACTTTCCCCCCTATTTAATTCACATTTCAATTCATAATATATTTATAAATGTATTATTTAACCAATTCAGTGTCTTTAATGGATGTATACATATTGTGAACCATTGAAACATCTTCTGTAATCCCTCGTCTCTTCCAAATAGAATAAGTTTTCTTATTCTAGCAATCAGCAAAAATTAATTTACTGTGACTACAAAAACGCCTAATATTTACTGGTAATACCTGGTAATTGAATAATATTTGATTGGATAATATTAAGTAATATTTAATTGGATAAATATATTGTTTAAGTAGACAATATTGAAAGCACAAGTTTGTGTTTGTTTAATTTTAATGGGTTTCATACACTAGTGCAAGGGTTCACAAACTGTGTTAAACCGAGAGAGACGAAGGGCACCGAAAAACTTCTGATATGCAAGCTTAATATGCGTGTAAAATATATACGTGTCTAAGTGTTCAAGTCCTTTAATAATAATATGTCCTTTAATAGTAATCTGCTGCTATTCAAAAGAAAAAAGTTCTGAGTTGAATGGGTGGATATATGTAAGATAAGAATATCTTGTTCTAAGTGAAGCTATGGCGATTAGAAATCCCTATTGCTTAATATCTGTGCAATCATTTTTAACAACAACTGTCCTAAAAAGAAGTATCGTTCGAAAATAAAGTAGTTAAAGAAAAGAAGGTAGCTATATCAAGATTTATTTCATGATATGAAAAATAATGTTATTTGCAGTAAGGTTACACATCGTACAAGATTGGTTTTTGATACCTTTCTGGTGTATGCGGTAGCTTATCCTTATTTATATTTTATATCAATATTGATACTTTTAATACTATATATAATTAAATTCCTCCCCACTTTCAAAAAACTATAATATCATTAGGAATTCAGTTGCTTATTTTATTACCATGGAAAGATTTGTTATATCTACTGGCAGCTGGATGACAAAACCATTAAGCTTTCATGCCAAAATCTTACATGAGTATTGAGAGTTGCTCACGTAAGCTCGTAAATATAAATGTAATTTGTACTCAAATCAAAATATCGGATGGACCACAACACATATACCGGCAGGTCACTCGGTTACTTGATATTTGTATATTGCTGATTGCTATTTCAAATTCATTCTTCAGATTCTGTTGAGAGAGAATTTTTTGTTGTTTCATTCTTTCTGTAGTTAGAGAAATGTGTTGATGTTATAAGAACTCCATTCCGGTTAATAGATTAATGTTTTGTTTAATACATAAAATTATAACCCAAAAAGGAAAATAACTGTTTAATAATCCCCTACACACGTATTTCTTTACTCTGTGTGCGCGAAAGTAAAAAGAAATAGCTGATATGTCTTATAATAGTTACTAGAATGCATGATTCCTAACAGCAATGGGTTATTTTCTAACCTTTGGCTATTACACTAATTTCTAGTTAGCTTTTCACTGCCTCACTCTCTTTGGATTCTGTACACTATCGTGTCGTAACTTTTATTCTTTTGGCATGGATTCTAAATGGCGACTAAAATAGAAAAACTTGGCCAAATGGATTCTAACTTTTTAATCATTTACATTGATATGAGAAATGGCCATATGAAACATTTGAAATCAAACACCCGTTTCTCACTATCTAACATATCGATTTTAATCTCATGTTTGATATCTACTTGCCAGAACTGGCTAATATACAGACCTAAAATTGATTGGTCCGAAATTTAACATTTTAAGACCACCCTCAGAGCTTCTAGTTTTGATCTTGGAGACAGTTTTGTTTGATCCCTATACGTCATCTTAAACATTCTATTTTGCTTTATTCTCCCGTTGGTAATGAAAATATTATTTTTCCACAGATATATATATTTTTTCTATGATGTTAAGATGAATTTATATAGAAATTAAAGTGAAAGCAAGCATTTGTAAACAATTGCAATTTTATGCTTTTAGCCTAATTTACTGAAGTATACAAATATTTTGAGACATTAATTGTTATATGTTGAGTCTACAAAAGCGATTTTCTCTTTATGAATTATTTACAATATATTCCAATGAATAACTTTTTTTAATCAATAAAAATTTTTGATGAAAATTTTTTGTCCTTCTTCTCATTCATGACGTTTCGAAAGGAGATTTTTTAAGATTTTGAATTTTTTATACATCATTGTTTTATAAAATTTTACATTCTGCTTGTGCGATAATTTCTAGCAGCAAACTTATTTCACTGGAGTGGAATAGTTTAGTAATAAGACATCTCAATCTCGAGGGAGAGCATACTAAAAAATGCAAAGCATTATCTACTTGGCGCATCTAATACCTCATTTGCATAATTCACTTTGAACTTGGCATCGAAATCCGATTAAAGCTCTGTAATATTTAGTTGGGACTGACAATATTTCGATTATTAACTTGGCTTCCCCATTCTTGTTGGCGATCTAGCCGCAACCTCAACTTGGTTCGGTCTAGATACTCTTTTCCCATCCTTAAATTTTTGGAAAAGTGCCAGCACCATTCATCGCCATTATGAGTTTTGCGTCCGTATCGTTTTGTCCCCTTCATCGTTGAATCTTCATCCTTTCTCCAGCGGCTGCATACCGAAACTGATCTTACGTTTGATTGGTTAAAGCTTACGTTGTACTTTCGGCTTTACCCATTGTGACGGGATGGAAGGTTGTTTTCTTGGCTCTCGCTAAAGATTTTTTTTTCATCTTTAAGCTCGCGTCATTCAATGTACTCAAGTTTAGGAATTAATTTTAAGGAGAAGAAAAGTATTCTTCTTTCAACTAATTGTTTTTGAATATGAAAAAAATATCTTAGACTAATTTAATGTATTTCATTATTCATTAAACGTTAAAAGTGAAATCTTATTGTTTTATTAATAATTTTTCTTTTTAAACTATGCATACGAAATTAATGATTCAGTTTTATGTTCTTAAATTGAATTTTATAAATTAAATTGGTATAGTTTCATTTATAGGATCGGATCATTTTAATGTTACAAAACATATTTCTGGCAATTTAGCACCTCCTACCTCAGTTAGCGAAGCATCACAAACCCACAATGAACTTTTTTTCCCTTAAATTTAATTATATTAGTCATTTTTAAAGGAACTAGTGGGATGCGCCCCCTGCTCGCTAACACTCGCCAACTCCCGAAAATTGCTACGCAATCTTATATGGTTTGCTTCGCTCGCTACTAACTTAGGTACATTGCAAATGCACAAAATTCTGAGAATTCAAAACAATCATTCAAATCCATATAACAACTTTTTTTAAAAAAAAAAATACATCTTTTTAGTAAATACTAAGTCATTAAAATAAATTTGAATTCAAATAAATGACATGTAATTCGTTAAACCTATTAGAAATGTGCTATAGTATAAAATCTAAAAATAAAATTTCTAAAACTGATATTTCTTTAAAAAGGTTAAAATTTTGGCTATAATTAAATAAGTGAATTGAAATGGAAAAACCTGCATAAACAAAACATTATGTTTTTAAGAAATAATAACCATGAACGATTCACAACTTTGTTAAAAACATATGTATAAGTCTTAGAAGTTTGACATACAAAAGAAAAACTTGCAGAAACTAAACATTAATTTGTAATAAATACTAAATGCGAACAAATACTGAGAAAGATTAAGGGCTTTGTTAATAACAAAAAAATAATTACTATTAAAGATTAAGAACTTCCTTAAACACACAATTACAAATTTCTAGACTTGGAGCTATCACTGTTAGGCTGTCAAATGATCTAACCCTAGAGAGGCCAACATAAAGTTGTCCATGACTAAAAACGGGCTTAGTCTATATAAATTCGTGAAAAAAAGCGCTTTCGACAAAATACTAAAATAGAGATCTATCGACAAAGACCTGAATTGAACAACCTGCTGATGCTCTCTCTGGTTATTTCAGTTTCCATTTTTAAATGCGCTATATGTTGAGCCACCTCAGTAAGATTTGGCATGTGACATTTTTAGCGACAATCATTGGTCGATTTTCTAGCGTTGCCATTCGGGGAGTTGTAATGAGGCTTTTTTTATCGCCGTGTAAGAGAAATATATATATATATAGATTGTTTTCAGTATAGAATTTTGAGTAATACCTAAGCATTTAATCAGCCGGCTTCAATCAAATGAACTGCATAAAAATGGTAAAGCTGGATTCAAAAACTTTTGGTACAAATCATTGGAAAAATGAGTAAAGATTAAATAAATATGGTATTCATCTTAAATGAATAGGAGTATTAGAAATATTTAGAATCCCGTTTCGAAAACTTTTCTTTGCACCCAATGTTTTTTTTTCTTTTTAAATCTATGTGCACAAAAGCAACGAAAGAAAACACTTATCCTAATAAATAAGGAAAATACCTCTACTAATTCAGGCAATCGAGAATTTTACTAAAAAAATATTGTAGAATTTGTATTTTTTTTAATAATTATGTTTTTTGGGGTGCTCAACACGAATCTGTATTTTGTAACCGAAATTCTGTTTTATGTAATGCGTTTTTTCCTTTGAAAATCTGGGGGTGGGGAGCTTTTTTTTCTTTCAACTCTTTTTGGTTTAAGATAGAAAATTTCTCATAACTTATTTGAGTACAAAGTGAACATTTACTAAAAAGGCTCGACTATAGGGTAATAAATCAAAAAATACTAGAAAGAAAGAAAAATAATTTTAAAAAGGGAATAATATCTCTCTTAGTAGCTTGAATAGATGCTTGAAATTTTATAAAAATTAACTTGCGCGTTCGACTGATGCATAAACAAATTATTTCTTCTCCCTTATTTATTATTATTCTTATTATTTCTTTCTGATTGGAACCTGATTCTCGAAACCAAAATAAACATAATTGTTCCTGAACCTTCCCTTTAATCATAATTTTTTAGGGTCATTTTAATTTTTGATTTTTCCTCTCTCTCCTTAGTTGTTTACTAAATTCAATCAGAATAACTCATAGGGATTTTTCA